CACCCGTGAACCATGGTTCACGGGCCACTTGGCATGCCTCGCTTAGCATGTCAGCAGTCAAGGGACCCCCAACTTGACAAGTAAACCTATTAGCTAGCTAGTGCACGTGATTCCTTCTAATCGTATAGAAGGAATCAGCTCCTTTGAGCTTTAAGGAGCAGACAGAATTCAGATACCTTATCAACCGAGTGTTTTGCAATTGCAAGTACTTTGACGACCGTTACGACTTTACGAATATATTCTTAATCGCTTAAAAGCAATCCAATATTGATCAGTGATTGAATTACTATTAAGTGATCAATCACAAAGAAGCTAGGACTCTATAGCGAGGATACCTTTCAATACGATACCTCCTTTCTTTTATAACGAAAGAGCGATTCCGTATTAAGTCGCTTGCTTATACTACCGATTTTTCTTTATTCTTACGGAAGAGTGATTCCGAATCAAGTCACTTTCAAAAACAACTTCAACGCTATAAGAGCCGCGCTTACTACATATAGCAACTCAACTAAATTTAGATCGACTTATATAAAAACAGACAATAATTATAGTCGATCGAGCAACTGGACCTTTAAGTAAAGAGTCCAGCCGACAAAGAGCAGTAGGGTATTATATCTTTCGAGTTTTATTACCACTTACGGAACCTTTAGCTATTCAGTCAAAAGAAACACTATACCTAGGGCTCTTAAGCCTCTCGGAAAGACTAGACGACGAGATGTCGAGCATCTTATTTGACTTAAATAAGCTACTATACGCAAGGCTCGATAGTGAGATTACGGCCCGAGCAATAATAAAGGACTTCTTGGACGCGAAGTGTAGAAGGCTAAAGGATTACGACTTGTAGAGCTTATTCCGGCACGCTTTCTTACGTTAAGATTAGACTAGTTTTACGATAACGAGGGACAATACGAGACGAAGCTTTAAGTTTGCTACTTTTATTAGCCTTAAAGAACACTTGCTATTTAAAGGCGTGTGGTGCCCTTTAAAGCAAAGGGGCTACGCTAATAAGATAATCAAGCTTTTGAACGACGAGCAGTAATATTAATAGACCTTTTAAGAAATAAAAGAGCAATAAGCAACACTTTTAAGCTTCGATTTAAAGTGGACCGCCGAAAACTTTACGGACGACGAAGATAATACGCCTTAACTACTTCTACTACTTTCGAGAAGCTTAAAAAAGAAAGAAAAAGAGACTTTAAGCAAGAAAGAAGAAAGAGAAGAAATCTAAAAGTTACGGAAAGAGTTTTTAAAAGAGAAGAGAGATATAAAACGAAATATAAAAGCTATAGCAAAAGAAATAGCGGAATTACGGACTTACGCTATACAATTAAACGAAAGGCTACGACGAAGCACTTTAACGTATTCGACGTCTTTAATTTATTAATCTTATCAATCGCTACGCAATACGCTAATCATATAACAAGAGCTAAAATCATTTTAGCGGCCTTTAAACCCTTTTTTTAAAAGCTATACTTAGTTTTCTAAAAAGCTTAAGCTTAATAGCAATAATAATAAAGGTCTTGAGATCATTATTAAACTAGACAACACTCGAAGCTACGAGAGCTATACGCTAAAAGAAGACCCGCCGAAACTTAAGAGCATTCCGGACAAAATCAACTTTCACTAAAGACAGCGTACAGATTTCCGTGCTTAACTTTAGCAACCCGAAGAGGGGATCTAGTACCTTCGGACGTACCGGCAAGCTACTTACATCTTTTAAGAAGCTACGTATTAATAAGAGAGAGATTAAAGGTATAAGAATCGTTAAAAGCAAGCTTAAGGATACGGATATCATTAAGCTAAAGCATTAGCCGATGACTCGAATAGCTTTAAAGATCTTGACGATAGCCGACGAAGAAAGAACGAAGGAGATTAACAAAGAGATCGAGGCTATTAATAAGAAGATCGAGGCTACGGGTACGGAAAAGGTAAGAACGGCTTTTTTAGACTCTTAAAGGGATTCGGCAACGGACTTTTAAAAGATTCCGGATCCGGAAATAAGCTTTTTAAGGACCTTAGAAAAGTAAGACTTACAATCGGCAACTATATCGATAACCTTTTACCGATCCGACTATTAGCTAAGCACGGCACGCTTGCGTACGGTACTTTAAGCGCTTTTAACGATGATAATGACGATTTCTTTAAGCTAAGAGCAACAGACCTTTATTTAAGAGCAAAGGAGTTGGCTTTGTTTGCAAGAAGCTTTCTTAAAGAGCTGAAGTATTTAAGGCTCGACGATGACTTTAAAACTTAATTAAGGATTTTTGCTAACTAAGCAAGTCGGTACGGTTTGACTTTAAACGACTACTTGGCGGCGTTCTTTATTATGTTGACGAAAGAAGCTATAACCTTTTATTACAATCATATGATTAAGGCTAAGCTTCTTACGTTTAAAGCGAACGCTATTGTTATAAGAGACCACTTCGAGACTGACTATCGGCGGCAAGCAAAATACGACCGTTAAAAAGAAATTTCGCTAGATTTGATTAAGAAAAAGAATCTAAAGACTTCGCTTAACGAGTGCTTTAAAAAGCTCGCTAAAGAGCTTAAAAGGATCTAAGGCTCTTTACGACTAAGTTTAAAAGATGATCGAAGTCTTGCTAACAAGCTGTATTCAGCTTATAAAAACGTGCTAGAGACTACGATTGCACGTATAAACTTTGCGTTTACTTTTATTGTCGGTATATCCATATCGACCTTAGCTAGTAGTAGTAGTAGTAGTAGTAGTTGGGGAAGCTTACCCGTGAACCATGGTTCACGGGCCACTTAGCATGCTTCGCTTAGCATGTCAGCAATCAAGGGACCCTTAACTTGATAAGTAAACCTATTAGCTAGTTAGTGCACGTGATTCCTTTTAATCGTATAGAAGGAATCAGCTCCCTTAAGCCTTAAGGAGCAGACAGAATTCAGATACCTTATTAACCGAGTGTTTTGCAATTGCAAGTACTTTGACGACTTTACGAAGTTACGAATATATATTCTTAATCGCTTAGAAGCAATCCAACACTGATTAGTAGTTGATTTACTATTAAGTGATCAATCATAAAGAAGCTAAGAATACTTTATAGCGAGGATACCTTTCAATACGATACTTTTCTTTTTTTATAACGGAAGAGCGATTCCGTATTAAGTCGCTTGCTTATACTACCGATTTTCTTTATTCTTACGAAAGAGTGATTCCGAACTAAGTCACTTTCAAAAACAACCTTAACGCTATAAAAGCCGCGCTTGCTACATATAGCAACTTAATCAAATTTGGATCGACTTACATATAAACAGACAACAACTATGGCCGATCGAGCAACTGGACCTCCGAGTAGGAAGTCTAGCCGACAAAGAGCAAGGTATTATACCCTTCGAATTTTATTATCACTTACGAAACCCTTAGCTATTCAGCTAAAAGAAACACTATACTTAAGGCTTTTAAGCCTCTCGGAAGGATTAGACGATGAGATGTCGGGCATCTTATTTAACTTAAACGAGCTGCTATACGTAAAGCTAAACAGTGAGATCACGGCTCGAGCGATAGTGAAGGACTTCTTAGACGCGAAGTGTAAAAGGCTAAAGGATTACGACTTATAAAGCTTATTCCGGCACGCTTTTTTACGATGGGATTGGACGAGTTTTACGATAACGAAAGACAATACGAGACGAGGCTTTAAGTTTGCTACTTTTATTAGCTTTAAAGAACACTTGCTGTTTAAAAGCGTGTAGTGCTCTTTAAAGCAAAAGGGCTACGCTAATAGGATAGTTAAGCTTTTGAACGACGAGCAGCAGCACTAATAGACTTTTTAAGAAATAAAAGAGCAACAAGCAACACTTTTAAGCTTCGATTTAAAGTGGACCGCCGAAAACCTTACGGACGACGAAGATAATACGCTTTAACTACTTCTACTATTTTCGAAAAGCTTAAAAGAGAAGGAAAAAGAGACTTCAAGCAAGAAAAAAGAAAGAGAAGAAATCCAAAGGTTACGAAAGGAGTTTTTAAGAGAGAAGAGAGATATAGAACGAAATATAAAGGCTATAGCAAAGGAAATAGCGGAATTACGGACTTACGCTATACAATCAAACGAAAGGCTACGACGAAGCACTTTAGCGTATTCGACGTCTTCAATTCATCAATCTTATTAATCGCTACGTAATACGCTAATTATACAACAAGAGCTAAAATCACTTTAGCGGCTTTCAAACCCTTTTCTTAAAAGCTACACTTAGTTTTTTAAAAAGCTTAAGCTTAATAGTAATAACAACAAGGGTCTTAAGATTATCATCGGACTAGACAACACTCGAAGCTACGGGAGCTATACGCTAAAAAAGGACTCGCCGAAACCTGAAAGCATTTCGGACAAAATCAACTCTTATTAAAGACAGCGTGCAGATTTCCGTGCTTAACCTTAGCAACTCGAGAAGGGGATCTAGCACTCTTAGACGTACCGGCAAGCTACTTACATCTCTTAAGAAGCTACGTATTAATAAGAGAGAGACTAAAGGTATAAGAATCGCTAAAGGCAAGCTTAAGGATACGGATATCATTAAGCTAGAGCACTAGCCGATGACTCGAATAGCTTTAGAGATCTTGACGATAGCCGACGAAGAGGGAACGGAAGAGATTAGCAAAGAGATCGAGGCTATTAGCAGAGAGATCGAGGCTACGGGTACGGAAAGGGTAAGAACGGCCCTCTTAGACCTTTAAAGGGATTCGGCAACGGACTCTTAAAGGACTTCGGATCCGGAAATGAGCCTCTTAAGGACTTTAGAAAGGTAAGACCTATAACCGGCAATTATATCGGTAACCTTTTACCGATCCGACTATTAGCTAAGCACGGCACGCTTGCGTACGGCACTTTAAGCGCTTTTAACGATGATAGTGACGATTTCTTTAAGCTAAGAGCAGCAGACCCTTATCTAAGAGTAAAAGAGTTAGCTTTGTTTGCAAAAAGCTTTCTTAAGGAACTGAAGTATTTAAAGCTCGACGATAACTTTAGAACTTAATTAAAGATTTTTGCTAATCAAGCAAGTCGGTACGGTTTGACCTCAAACGACTACTTAGCGGCGTTCTTTATTATGCTGACGAAGGAAGCTATAACCTTTTATTACAATCATGTCGGTTCATTTATATCGACCTTAGCTAGTAAATAGTAGTTAGGGGGGAGCTCACTCGTGAACCAGGGTTCACGGGCCACTAGGCATGCTTCGCTTAGCCTGTTACAGGTCAAGGGGCCCCCCAACCTGCTTGTAAACCTAGTATTTAGCTAGTATACGTGACTCCTTCTTATTATATAGAAGGAGTCAGCTCTCTTAGAACGAGAACAACAAGCAACAAATTGAGTATTTTACCACCGAGTGTTTTGCAATTGCAAGTACTTTGACGACGTCACGAATTTTACGAATATTACGAGAGATCGCTACCGGCGATCCAACACTGATCAGTGATTGTTTAATCGCCAACGAAAGCGTTACTCAATCACAGAGAAGCTAGGATCGATCGAAGAGTTGGGACTTTACTTCTACTTACTCGAAGAGTGTAGAAGTGGTGAGTTTGCGCTATAAGAAACCTGCAACCGCAGTGAAAATCACTTACCTCTTACTACGATACCTCCCTCTTTATATAACGGAAGAGCGATTCCGTACCAAGTCGCTTTCTTATACCACCGCCTTACCTTCATTTCTACGGAAGAGTGATTCCGAATCAAGTCACTTTTATATACAACCTATCAACGCTGTAGAGCTACGCTAGCTACACATAGCAATACAACCTATCAACGCTGTAGAGCCACGCCAGCTACACACAGCATACAACACTACGACTCGACGCTAAAGGAACTTCAATTAAGCAATATGCAGTCAATCGATCTCCGAGGCAACGAGAGCAATAGACAAGGAGCTTCTGGAACGTCAGCAAGAACTCAAACAACAAGGACACCGGCGGACCCTTTCTCGAGATTCGCGGACCCTCTTTCAGCACAACCTCTCAATCCAGGCACTCGGAATACTTTCGAAGAACCAAACGAAGACGCGTCGGACCTCGGTTTTGACCTCGATTCCTTACCGTATTCGAAGCTAGAAAGTCACACAAAGGCTAGATTAATTATCGAGGACTTCCTGGACATAAAGAGTGAGGGATTAAGAGACCACGAGCTTTGGTCTTTATTCCGATACGCGTTTGCTAAATGGAGCGCGGACGAGTTCTCGTTAGCAGCCAAACAAGCACACGGCCGAGGAAGCAAGTTTACGTTGCTTATTAGGCTAAGAGATTACTTATTGTCTAAGGGAGTTTGGTGCCTTCTAAGGCAAAAAGGCTACGCCAATGGACTAGCCTCAATTATACAAATGGAGAAGGAGCACCAATGGACTTAGGAGGAGCAGCGAGCTTAGCAGGCAGCAATCGAGGGATTTGATTTTAGGTGGAATGAGGTTACTATTGCACGCCTTAATCGACAAACTGAGGAAGTCGCTAAAATTCAAGGTAAACAGGTCGAAAGGTTTCCTCAATCAGGCTTGATTCGTCTTACTAGAATCATCGACGAACCCTTACTTGCAAATTCGCTTCGCTAATCACTCCGAGAGGAGTACGAAGAGCTCCGACGCTAAAAAGACGCTATTGCGCGAGACCTCGATGATCTCAGAAACCTGACAATTACGAGAGACGCGCAATAGCGTAAAGAGAGAATCGAGGAGGCTACAAAGCAACAATCATCAAGGCGCAGTTCTCGCAGTTCTCGCGATTCACTTCCTTTTCCCGTCCTTTTATTACTTCAGCCAGCGATTTTATCACCTAAAGAATGCGCTGAAAAGCAGCAAGACGAGGTTCCGGGCAAATTTTACTTTCACCAAGGACATCGTAGAGATCTTTTTCCTAGTTTACAGCAACCCGAGGAAGGAACGCAATACCCTCGGACAGACCGGCAAGCTACCCATATCTCTCAAGAGGCCACGTATCAACAAGAGAGAGACCAGGGGTATGGGAATCGCTAAGGGCAAGCCCAGGGATACGGATATCACTAAGCTAGAGCCTTAGCCGGTGACCCGAATGGCCCTAGCGATCCTGACGATGACCGACGAGGAGGAAACGGGGGAGATTGGCAAGGAGATCGAGGACACGGATACGGAGGGGGTAAGAACGGGCCCCCTGGACCACTAAGGGGATTCGGAAACGGACCTTTAAAGGACCCCGGGTCCGGAAATGAGCTTCTTAGGGACCCTAGAAGGGTAAGACCTACTACCGGCAACTATATCGGTAACCCCCTACCGATCAGACTATTGGCTAGGCAAAGCACGCCTGCGTACGGCACTCTAGGCGCCCTTGACGATAATAGAGACGATTTCCTTGAGCTAAGAGCAGCAGACCCTCACCTAAGAGCGAAGGAATTAGCCTTGTTTGCAAGAAGCTTTCTTAAGGAACTAAAGTATTCGAGACCCGACGATGACTTTAACACTCAATTAAGGATTTTTGCTGACCAAGCAAGTCGATACGGTTTAACCTCCGACGATTACTTAGCGGCGTTCTCGATTATGCTTACAAAGGAGGCTATAACCTTTTACTACAATCACGTCATCAAGGCCAGACTTCCGACTTTCAAAGCAAACGCTATTGCGGTAAAGGACTACTTCGAGACTGACCACCGGCGGCAAGCAAAATACGACCGCTGGGAGCAAATTTCGCTGGAATTGGTTAGAAAAGAGAATCCAGGGACCTCGCTTAGCGAGTGCTTTGAGAAGCTCGCTAAGGAGCTCAGGGGCATTCAGAGCTCGCTACGACCAGGTCTGAGGGACGATAGGAGTCTCGCTGACAAGCTGTATTCAGCTTGTAAAAACGTGCTAGAGACGACTATTGCGCGAATGAACCCTGCTTCTACCTCTACCGCCGCAGTTGCTGACATTCGCCGAGCAATTGGTTTTGCAACTGAGAGCATTCAACCTCTTAAGAGTGAGAGCTATCGACCTTCCAAGGCAAGCAGAGCTTACGCGAGCTCTAGCGAGCCATTTGATCAGTTTCAGCACTCTCTTCAGCACTCCTCTTAGCATTCCTCTCAGCACTCTCCTTAGCACTCCTCTTAAACCTCAAGCAAGGCTGATTCCGACGACCTTGAGAACGAGTACGAGTGTTTTATTCAAGGCTGCTAATACGGAGGAGAGCACTGTGAGCACTTCGCAAGGTGACGGGGTTTGGAAAAGGAAGGGATTTGTTTC